TAATGTAAAATTGATATAGAATTGTAATTGACTGGCATGGTTCACTTATGGTGGCGGTGCTTATGTTTTGTATAAGATGATGATCATGGCCTTGTCAGAATTATTCTGTAAATTGTAGTAGTATAATGTAAGGGTTATCGTGAAGGAAAAATGTGAAGTTTGTTATATGAAGTAATGAGACTATAAGTAAGGTGTTATAGCTTAGATGAATGCATAAACTGACGGATGATGTGATGTATGTGTGATCTTTTGTAATGTGAATGTATAAAGTGAAGGAGCTCATGTGATGTATATATGATCTTTAATGACTACAATAATATTATGAATCTTCTTTAATTGATAATATTTCATAATGAAGGACTAAGAAGTATCCTCATAGAATGATGTGGTATCTTGACTTGGTAGACATAGTTCTCATTACTTGGTACTTTAATGATATTAACTAAGTTATATATTGAATATTCTGTCTTTATTGGTAGACTTAGGCCCCTCTACTTGATACATGAATGTTATGTGAAGGTGATCTCTTAACATTGTAGGATTAGGCTCCCTTGTCATGTATTTGAATTTATGTATGAATGAAAGGAAGTCTATGATCGGTAGACCTAGAGTGGTGCCCTTCTATGAAAGACTTATATGGAACATTGAATATGAAAAGAAGATTAATAATGATCTATCTTAATAGACCTTGAGTGGCAGCCCTAGTGGACCCATTCTTGGTAAGGGTAAGACTATGAAATGGTACCTTCTCAAATACATTCATGTGAATGAACTTATTTTATGAGAACAAATGCAAAGCACCGAGTGAATATTTGTAGTATCTCTACTTAAGTATTATATTAGAGTAGAAACAAGCCCTTGCTATCCCTTAACAATTATCAACATAGGATGAGTCCTAGCTCTACCTTGCGCAAGTAGAACACCTTCTAGAGTGTGGGGTCTTTTGACACCGAATTCATTACATAGTTTATATGGTCTATGTCGGTTAATGCATATTGTCATCATGTGGGATGTACACTCTATTATTGGATAGGTTCTACAACGTGTAGGTAGTGTAATAGGACATTATCTATATATGGCACGAGTAGGCCTTAAAGATACTAGAATGAGTTCCCTCGGTCTTTCAAGACCATTTTGTGAAGTCCCCTAATTGTGTAACTGTCTCTTAAACGGATTCAATGAATAATGTTGATTTATTTAAATCATGTTGAATAGAAAGGTTCTTATTTTGGGTAGCTTTAAGGATGGCTTAGGTGTGCTTGAAGAGGGTGTATAGGCGTTCTCTTCGTGTGTTACTCAAGTGAATCTTAGAGAAACGTAGGTAGAGAATCTAAATTATGAAAAGTTTTCCTTGATGAATATAGAATTATGTTTTATGTGATGAAAACGAATATCCTTACTTTGGGTGGTCTTGAGGATCACCTAGGTGTGTGTGAAGTGGTTGTATGGGGGCCACTTAATATCTTACCTAGGTGGGTTTTAGGATAAACTTTGGTAGGTTGTGGATTATTTAAATATGTCTTATATGTGATTGTTCACTTGTATTATGTCTCTTAAACTCTTATTATGAAACTTTTTATCAAAATGTCATGAAAGCGTGTTTCCATACTAAATATCCCTTTTTCATGGTTTTTACATGGCTTTGATACTTAGTGCATTAAATGTGCTAACCCCTTATTTTCTCTTTTTGCCTAAAGTGTAGGAATTGGAGTTCTTGATATGTCATATACGATGGATAGGTTTCTAAGAGTTGAAGATAAAACTTTGGTGAGTCATTCGAGGGTAATACCCATATGTTCCTTTCAAGTCTTTATTTCAAGTCTTGTATGGGCTTAGTCCCAAATTTTGTATTCTAAAGTATAGATAAATTAATGGGCTAAACTTAGAATATTTTAAAAAAAATTCTTCTGCTTTATTATTAATGAAAGCATTCTTTGTGTGTTAATAAAGTTTTAAATTCGTATTTATTTTGAGTATCGTATGCAATGATTGATACATGTTTCATGTAGAGACCTCCGAGAGGTTGATAACACCTTGTAACTTCTAGGGGTTCTCCCCATCATTTTGGTATTAGAGGCAGGCTATGGGAGTGTCATAGATTGTCTCAAAAACCACATCTAGTAGAGTCTTGTTCATAATGAGAAGTGTGTCACATTTTGAATAGGATAATATTTGGTGGTAAGAAAGTTTCACTTATTCATTCTTCTAATGTTTCCTAAGAGCTTTGGTTTATCATATCTTTCCCTTGTTCTTTCTATGTTGGTCCTTAGGGTGTTTCCTTTGAGAAGCTTGGTGTTAGCGGTTGAGGGATAGTACAAAAGATTATCTGTTACTTTTTAGATGAGATATGGGAGGTTGCGATGATGACCTTAATGTGAAGAGTAAGGACATTTTGATGTTGGGTTGATCTGACCTTAGAGCCAGAGCAGGTAATATGTGAAAGAGTAAGTTTACTTTCTCCTAGCAAGGGATGTTGCTACTAGATGATGAGACTTTTGAGATTCTTGTTTTTATGAGATAGGCTTGATGTTATTTCTTCAAGGGGAATTGTGAATTGAAGAGTAGGGTTAGAATGGCCTTATAGTATGTTCATGTTGTCCTTAGATGGGTTTCTCCCAAGTGGGGGAGTATCGAGAATAGTAAGGGTGCCGAGAGTGAGATATCCTTAGCTTTTCCTTATGTGCCAACTCAAGCATAAAACTAAGAGTTCCTAGTATCTTTGTTCATGTTGGAGTCTTTTGTGAAAATGAGTTTCCAAATATTCTCTTTATGATATGTATGTTTTTGTTGAATTTTTTTGAAATAAGAAAATGATTTTTCAAGCATTGTATTCCCTTGTGTTCATATGCATTATGTGTAGATTGTCTATTTGATTCATGAGGTGAAATAGTAAGCAAGCCTAAATGTTACATGAGTTAACTTGTTGAGAATGCCTATTATGTTATTTAGAGAGTTACTTGTTAAAATTTTAAAAAGAAATTGCTTTGGATGTCCCTTATTTAAAAGTTGCATGATTATGCTTAGATGGGAAATTTCATGATGTGCTAAGTGATGTTGAAATGAGCATGACGTAAATTGGAGTAGGAAGTTGCTCCAATAGCATGAGAAATGGTAAAGAATGATGCATAAGAAGTTGTTAGATGTAGTTCTACTTTCTTGACTTGCATGAAGTTGTTTGAACCTTTTGGTTTTGGAGTGGTGTTCCTCCTAACTAACACCTCCTAACTATTTTTATGGTTTATGATGATGTATGCATGAAAATATAAGTTATTTCCTTTGGTTGTTATACCTTTAAGTGTGAAGTGTTATTCGAGGATGAATGTTCCCAAGTGGGGGAGATTGTTACAACCCTAAAAATGAATTAGATTGAACTAGAGCTTCACTTGTGTTTTAAAGGCTTTTAACTATCTATTTTAATGTGTAAATGCGTCTATAGGTCAGTTCGGTTAAGTTTGAAGTCAAACATCAAGGAAAGATCAATATATTCGAAAACTAGTCGTCTATGTACTTGTGTGTGTGTAGTGTGCCTTTGAATGTTTCATGAGTTTTTGGTGTCTATATTGATAGGAGGGGTACGTAAGACATAGATGAGAATGTCTAGGGGTTTAGCACCCAAGTAATACTCCACCAAGGACCCACAAGGGGCCCTAGAGGAGGACCCTATCTCTTAGCCAAGATGTTGTCTTGCATTGTCAAACAATGACCACAAGAGACAACCAGTCAACCTTGGGAGTAGATTGGACCTTCACGGCTTGAAACATGGTTAGTATCTTGCCCAAATAATGGACCCCAATGACGGGGCATCATTCCTTCTTCAGCCAGTAGATGATATGGTGTCATTTTTCCTACAAATTCCTACTGCAACTCGGCCAAGTTAGTGGTGATATGGTAATTCAGCCCAAGTCTTTTAAAATGTAAGTACCGTTGTTTTAGGTATATTTAGGTACTTATAGAGTATTAAAGTTATACCGATATTTTAGGTAAATTCAGGTACTTTTAGAGTATTAAAGTTATTAAACCCTCTTTTAGACCCTAACACGTAAATCAAAACCCTTTCCTCCAAAAGTTCTCTCCGAAAATCCCCCATCGAATCTCAAGGTCAAGATCGAGCTAGGATGGTGGATTATAAAAGAGTTATTCTTCAAGGTACGGGAGTTCTTTATCTAAGGATTTCTATCACCTTATATCCAATTACTAAGTGATTTCAAAGATTTCAAAGTTGATGAAAAATTTCAATTTCTACTCTAAGTCATGGGTTCTTGCATGAAACATTTTCGATTGATTAGATATCATACAATTGATGTTAAATTTATGTTTTCAATGAAAATCTCCATGTACCCTTGATCTTCTGAAATCTCTAAATTTGGCTTATGAATGGTTTAATTGTTTATGATATAATGATGATAGAATTGAGTTTAGATTTGTTGTTATGTTGATTTCTATGGTTAATTATCTAATCATATTGTGAATTGTTGGAGATGTTAAAGAATGGTGATCTTGGATTTTGGATGAAGGTAAGTTGAGCTAATTTTCTTAGTTAAAGTAAAACTGAAATAAAATTGCTATTGATTTGTATGGTCCATTTATGGTGCATGTGCTTATGAGTTGTATATGATGATGATCATAGCCATGTCGGTGTTATTATGCTAATTTGCTGGTATCGTGTTAGGGTTCATGTGAAGGTATAAAGAGAAGTTGATTATTTGAAGTAATGTGACTATATGTAAGGTGTTATGGCTTATATGAATGCATAAAGTGAAGGATGATATCACTATGGGTGCTCATGTGATGTCTATATGATCTAGAATGAGTGATATAATATTACGTGTCTTCTTTAATTGATGATATGTGATAATGATGGACTAAGAAGTGTCCTTTCACGACCCAAAATACACCCATGAAATTTGGGCATCCTTCAAGTCAGAACATGGCGTACTTGGCTGCTCGGAGGTCTTGTACAAACCCTTAGAAATCATTTATTCCATATATACGAAAAGTAGCGTGGAATCAGAACTTTTCTTGCAAAACATAATGTGGAATCTATGACATAATGAGTACAATAGTCTTGGGTAAAAGCCCATGAAAATTCTAACATAGAAAAGAACATAAAAACATCATAGTGGTGGTGTCCTCGGATGCTATGAGGACTCACAAATCTTCACTTCTTGAAAGCCTTGGAAACTTTACCCTTGAAAGCAACTCAATCTACTCAATACCTTACATTGGATTAGAATGTAGGCAAAATATGCGTTAGTAGGAAATGTACAAAGTATATAAACTATCATATTATAGCATACAATATCTCAAAGGATTAGTTAATAATAGACATAATCGTAAGTGATAAAACATACGCATAACATGAATAACATAAGAATAATGAAGCATCATAAATCAAATAAGAGTTCAGACTTAACTCATTGTCCTTCTTACACAAATGAACTACTTCACAAGTCACCCCCAAGTATACTTGTGCAAAACTAGGGTAGCATCCTACACAACTACCAAAGATTAGTACATCTATTTGGTCATTCTTGATCCTAATGCAATATCATTATTAAGATCTAGATCCATCATAAAATATGAGCATTATGCCCCTAGTCAACCTCAAATTACACTTGTGCAATGCATGTGAAGCATCCCATTCTACCTCATACACTAAGCATATCTTGAATTAACCCTATTCCCTTTCATTTTAGCTTGGGAGTCCTTACTTAATATTAACAAGGAACTATAGTCATATGTCAATTATGTCATGGAATGAAACTATATTCACTATCCAAGCTATGCATACAGATCATAGGGGTCATGTCATAGGTAGCTTCAAGTCATACTTATGTAATGTATGGATAACATCTCATACTACCATCAACACTAAGTATTTATCTAGACTAACCTATCCAATCTAACTTAGCTTGAAACCATGTCTATTATTATCAAGTTACTATCATGATAGACCTACTACCATGGAAAGCATCTCATCATACTAACCAAGATAACTAAGGAAGGATACAACCATCCTACCCACCATGAAACCAATTCTATAGATGCACGCTATTCCATATGGGATCATGAACCCTCAACCCTAAGATATCATGAGAAACTAATCCCAAGCTAATTAATTTTATCATTAAATGAACCTAGCATGCAAGTCAAGCTAACATTAAGAAAGTATAGGCCTTTCCCCTAAAGCTAACATTAAATTTTTGTGGCCAAACTAAGTCAAGCTATCATGATCAAGCATCCTAGCATCACAAGCCCAAGCTAAACATGTGAGAGTTTATCTTCACCATCCCAAGCAACGATGAAGTTCATCACCTCAAGGTATAATGAGTGATTCAACTCATGCTTCCATAAGATTCAACATCTCAAGATACCATTAGTATTTAAACCCAAGCATCCTTGAGATTGACTATCTGAAGCTATCCTGGAGATCTACCATCTCAAACTATCATTCCTTGGTATTGTTTAACCAATTCTATTGCCCAAGAAGTTAGCATACAATCCATCTTTAAGCTAATATATCCCATTATGTCTTAATTCATTTTAGGTTATTAGGTCAACATAGAGTCCATCTATGTGATAGAACTTGCTTCTCCTATTATATGCATGTCTAAGTGTATAAGAAAACATCATCATAATCCCTTCATAATGACTTCACCCCCAAAGCCCTAGCATCAATTTCATACCTGCCCATAAACGATTGGTAACTTAAATTCATCATTATCTATATTTAATTACATGCTTACTTCAATCAATTAGATGATTAGAAGGTAAGTCTAGGCATACATGATCACATAGGTTCAATTAAAACTTTAAAAGTCAATACAAACCTAGATAAATTAGACCTAGTTCAATTTACATATAGGTGATTCAATTATGATCAAATAGCATACAATAACATTGAATTACGAAGATCAACTTAGAACATTCATCTAGCCTCTAATGGCCTTAAATCACCATGATCACCTTCAACATCAATTACTACAATTCACCATGAAAACCTCATTAAAACATCAAATAATCATCATATGAACATAATTTAATGCTACCCACTAGATTAGGATCACAATCAAGTCTTGCCAACAACGCAATCACAACCCATCCTAGATTGGGGTATTTTGAATCCATAATTGTGGAAAACTAGGGGGACTCCATGAATGTTATAATACATGTATGAATAATCTTCACATACCTTATATTAGATTCTTGAACCCATCTTGAACCTTGGTGAATATTTCTTGAATCTACCTCCAATTTCTCTTCTTCTTCAATGGTGGTTTTAGCCGGTGTATAGGAGAGAAAGGTTATAATTTGATAATAGTGTCTAAATGGATATTGTACTACTTTATACACTTAAAATTCTTAAAATAAACATCAATATTAATTCCTAAAGTTCCATAAAGACCCCTGCAATTAATGGATAATTTATCCAATTCTAATTTGACTTATAAATGACGCGACCAAATCTTGGAGGTCACTACACATCGCGCAAGAATTTTCAATTCTTGGTTCTGGAAATTTTTGATACATAATGGTTCGCGATGTCCTTCCATATCAGGGAAAAAATTCCCATCTTAGTGCAGGCCGCGCTACGCGCAGCTACCTCTAATTCTTTGCTGGCGCGGCAGCTTGCTTAGACCATGTTTGGGTCCTCCTTGGGGACCTTAAATTTAGATCTTTTATATGTGAGTCTATGTATAGGAAAAATCAATACTCAATTTCACCATCAAATTATACCCCAAAACTCCACGATTAAACACTAAGACACACTAGTTCCACCTCGACTAGTTTCCGGACGCCTTTGACGTTCTTGGATGTTTGACCTCAAAACAAATCCAAAATTTAAAAATTTACTCTAAACAGTATTATTAGTCATTTTAAGACCTTATAAGTTCATGAAAAACTCATGTTAGGCTCTATCTTGACCTAGTTCAATTTAAGGGGTGTTACAATATCCCATACTTGGGAAACATTTGTCCTCGAATGACACCTAATTACACATTTCATAAAGGACCAACTCTAGAATAGTATCCTATTATATATGAATTATATGTAAATGAACATATTCAAATAAAGGAAACAATTCAATTCTAAGATAATCATAACTACACATAATCATATAAAGACCTTATGAAAAGGGCTCTGTATCCCCCACTTGGGAATAAGTTACACATGTCTCCTTAACATCATATCATTTGTATTAAGAGAAGGAAAATCATAAAGCATGTCATAATCATAAAAAATTCTTAAAAAATTTATAAATCATTAAAGAAACACATACTGGAGAGGGACAAAAGGATATCATTCTTGATCACCCTTAGATAGGAGAGCATATAACATATTCCTCTTTGGAAAACCATCTTCCACTTGATTAGTCACAACATGATTGCCTTATCTTACATTATATTTTGCCTTAGGGAAACCTTTCATCATATGACCACTCTCACCATACCCATCGCAACCATATCTATCGGACAAGTACCTAACCTCGTGTTTCTTACCACACCTAGTGCAAGTAGGTCGGGAATACTCATTACTCTTCTCATACCTAGGAGTACTAGATGAGTCATGACCTGAAGACTTATGATGATTCTTAGAATGACCATGTCTATCGGGCCCTTAACATTATATCCTTACTCTCTTCATGTCCTTCTTAAACTTAGACTCTTCTATTTGTTGAGCAAACAACATTAGTTTGGAGATATCTATATCATCTACAAGCATTGCCATATGAAACTCTTCCTCAACTAATCGTACACCCCCGTCCTGAACCGATTCATAAAGTCTCTAGACTTTGCTACCAACCTTCGAGCATATTTAGAAAGCATTCTCCTTAATACTCAACTTTCCTTGTTTGAGGTTTATGAATTCCCCCAACTTAGCCTCTCTCAATTCCCTAGGAAAGAACCTATCAAGGAAAGTCTACTTAAAATTATCCCACTCTCTAGGACCCGCCCTTACTGGCGTAGAATCATTCCATTGGTCATACCAAAATTGAGCTACATCTTTCACTTGGTAAGCGGCTAACTCCCCTTTCTCCCTACAAGTCAAACCCATAATAGCAAGAGTCTTATACACCTCATATATGAACCCATTTGGATCATCCTCTACCTTGGATCCACTAAGTTCCGGATGGGTCATCCTCAAGAACTGTCTAATTCTATAAGCACAGATTCCCCCTATAGGTTTAGCCACCACTCCCTGTTGGCTTGGACCGTCAAGGCTTGAGCTAACAAATTTATAGAAATCTTTAATGCCTCTAGAGTAACATTCTCCACTAGAAAAGCATTAGGAACTTGGGGAGGAACTTGATTCCCTTGGGGAGGAACCTCTTGATTCTCAATTCCATCTCTATCCCTTCGAGCATTAGCCCTAGTGGTAGCAAATCATAGGTTACGTTAGAAGGAAGTCTTACTCAAGCCAAACACTATAGCATGACTTGAATAATGAACAAGTGAATATTTCTTAAGCATCTTGTAGTCTCCCACTCATAGATGTTTCACGACTTACACCAATGAATAAGACTCTACTAGATGTGGTTTTGACATATCCTAAGACCATTTCCTAACCTTATGCTCTGATATTATGCTTGTCACGACCCAATGTACACCCTAGAATATAGGGCATCCTTCAAGTGGGAACACGACGTACTTGACCTCTCGGAGGTCTTGTGAAAGACCTTAGAAATCATTCACTGCATAAATACGAAAAGTAGGGCAGAATTAAAAGTTCTCTTTCAAAACATAATGCGGAATTATTTTATAAAAGTTCTAACATATTTCTATAAAACCATCTATAGAATCATGACTACAATAGTCTTGGGTCACAAACCATAAAAATTGAACATAAAAGACATCATCGTGGTGGTGTCCTCGGATGCTATAAGGAATCACCACTCTTCACTTCTTGAAAGCCTTGGAAAATCTACCCTTGAAAGCAACTCAATCTCCTCAAGACCCTACATTGGATTAGAATGTAGGCAAAATATATGGAAACAATCATATTATAGCATAAGATATCTCAAAGGTTATCCAATATTAGACATAATCATAAGACATAAAGCATAAGCATAACATGAATAACATAAGCATAATGAAGCATCATAAATGGTATAAGATTTCGTACATAACTCATTGTCCTTCATACTAAAATGTCCTACTTGACTACTCACCTCCAAGTATACTTTTGCAAAACTAAGGTAGCATCCCATACTACTATAAAATCATAGTACATGTTTTTGGTAATTCTTGATCATAATCCACTATCATAATTAGAACCTAGATTCTTCATAACATATGAGCACTATACCCCAACACCACCTCAAAACAAACTTGTGTGATACATGTTAAGCATAACATTGTACCTCACACACCAAGCATATATTGAAGTCACCCTATTCCTTTAATTTTATCTTAGGAGTATCTAGTAAACCTACTTTATATTGACAAGGAACTATCATCTTGAGTCAATCCTGTCATGAAATGCAACTATCATCACTATCCAAGCTAAGCATACATACCATAGGGGTCATGTCATAGGTAGCTACAAGTCATACTTGTGAAATGTATGGATAGCATACCATACTACCATCCAAACTAAATATTTCTCTAGACTAACATAATCCAAGCTAACTTATCTTATAACCTTGTCCATTAAGCTCAAATTACTATCATAATATACCTACTACCATAAAAAGTATGTCATCATACTTACAAAGTTAACTAAAGAAGGATACAACCATCCTAATCACCATGCAACCAATCATATAGATACAAGCTATCCAATAGTGGAGTATGAATCCTCACTCCTAAACTATCATTAGAAGCTAATCTCGTTAATTCAGGTAATGAAATCACAACCCATCCTAGATTGGGTATTTTGGATTTACAATTTTGGTAAACTAGGGGGGACTCCATGAATAGAAGAATACATTGATGACTAAAATTCACATAAATTATGTTAGATCCTTAAACCCAGCTTGAAAACTTAGTAAATTCGTCCTAAAGCTGCCTCCAATTTCTCTTCTTCTTCAATGGTAGATTAGGGAGAATTTTGTGAGAGAAAGGTTTTGATTTGGAGTTTAATGTATAAATGTCTATTTTAATAATTTTATATACTTCAAATACCAAAAATAACCACAAATAATTAATCTCTAAAGTTCCCAAAAGACCCATGCACTTAATGGACATTTTAACCAATTCTAATTTGAATAAAAGATGACGAGGCCAAATCTTTGAGGTCACTACGCATCGCAGAGGCATTTTCAATTCTTGGTTCTTAAAAAATTTGAGACAGAATGATTCGTGATTTACTCGCAACTTAGGTAAAAACTTTCCCATACCAATGCAGGCTACGGGACGCGCAGCTACTGCCAATTCTTTGCTAGTGTGGCAGCTTGCTTGGACCATGTTTGGGTCCTCCTTGGGGACCCTTAGGCTGGTCCTAGGGGCGTCGTTCTCAGACTTTTCAATCCTTTACATGTCATAATAAATTTTACCCTCAAAACATACCCCAAAACTCACTACAAAATACTATGAAACACTAGTTCAACCTCGACTAGTTTTCGAACGTCTTAGACGTTCTTTGTTGTTTGACTCCATAACACTCCCAAATATTACACACTTCATCTTAAGACTATTATTAGTCATTTAAAGACCTTATAATATCATTACACACTCATGTTAGGCTCTATATTTCCCTAATTCAATTTTGGGTGTGTTACATGTCCTTATTGAATGATGTAGCATCTTGTGTTGGTAGAATTAGTTGTCCGCACTAGGTACTTGAAGGTTATTTACTATGTTATATGAAAAATGTTGTGTCTATATTGTTAGACTTATTTCCTTCTGATTGATACATGAAAATTTTGTGAAGGTGATCTCTTAACTTGGTAGAAATTGGCACCCTTGCCATGTATGTGAATGGACGCATAATTCAATAAAAGTCTAGAATCAGTAGACTTATAGTGGTTACCTTATATGAAAGACTTGTATGAAACCTTGAATATGAAAAGAAAATTAAAAATCAACAGCGCTAATAGACCTTGAGTGGTAGTCCTAGTTTACTCATTCATGGTAGGGGTACTATGAGTTTGTAAGACTAAGAAATGGTACCTTCTCGAATACCTTCACGTGTATAAATTTACTCTATGAGATAGAAAGAAAAGAACTGAGTGGTATGCTTATGGTAGTATCTCTACTAATGTATGAAACTAGAGTATAAAGAAACCCTTTATATCCCTTAACTATGTGCAAACATGGGATGAGTCTTAGTTCTACCTTTGTCAAGTAGAACACCTTCCACAGTGTGGGTTTTAGGCCACAAGATTACATACCTAGATAGTATGGTCTATTTAGTTTAATGCCTATTATCATCATATATGATGTACACTCTAGTATTGGATGGGCTCTACAACATGTATGTAGTGGAATGACTCTATCTATACATGGCAGGAGTAGCCCTTGAATATGCTAGAATAAGTTCCCTAGGTCATCCAAGACCATTATGTTAAGTCCCCTAATTTTTTTGTTGTATTTTAAATTGATTTGACCAATAATGTTAATTTTGTTAAAGCGTGTTGAATAGAGAGGTTCTTTTCTATGGTAGCTTTGAGGATTTCTTAGGTGTCCTTGAAGAGGGTGTATGGGTGGCCTTTTCATATCTTACTCAACTGACTCTTAGATTAACCTTTGATAGGGACTATAAATAATGAGAAGGCTTATTTTATGAATATGGAGTTAAGTGTTATGTGATGAAAATGAATATCCTTACTTTGGGTAGTCTAGAGGATCACCAAGGTGTTTATGAAGAGGATGTATGGGCGGCCACTTGATATCATACGTAGGTGGGTCATAGGATAAACTTTTGTAGGTTGTGGATTATTTGAATGTTTCTTATATGTGATAGTTAACTTGTATATTTATGTCGCTTAAACACTTATTGTGAAGGTTTTATCTAAATGTCATGAAATCTTGTTTTCATACTAAAAATGTCCCTTTTTCATGGTTTTTGCATGGCTTCCATTCTTAGTGAATTAAATGTTTTAACTCCTTTTACCTTTTTGACTAAACATTAGGGATTTAATTTCTTTATATTCTATGGATGATGAATAGGTTTCAAAGTGTTAATAATAATGCTTTGGTGTGTCCACATAGATTCGAGGACAAGACCCAAATGTTCATTTTTAGTGCTTATTTCAAGTGTTGTATGGGCTAAGTCCCAAATGTTGTATTCTAACGTATAGATGGTTTACTGACACATTGTAAAGGTATAATATTTTTAAAAGTATTCTGCTTGTTTATTAATGAATGTATTCTTCATCGTGAAGAAAGATTTGAATTCTTACTTATTTTGAGTATCGTATACAATGATTGATACGTGTGGCATGAATGAGACCTTCCATAGGTCGATTACACCTTGTAACTACTAGGAGGTGCCCCTCAATTGTTACAGATCATAACATTGTTCAATTGGCGTTAATCTATGTATATCCTAAGGCAACCATATTTCTTTATCACAAATAAGGCCAGAGCGCCCCAACGTGATATAGATGGTCGAAGAAATCCTTATCTAATAGATCTTTCAATTTTTCTTTTAACCCTTCAAACTCTGTTGCTTCCATCCTATATGGAAAGATAGATCCAGGACGAGTATCTAGAAAAACTTTTATGTTGAAGTCTATCTCTCTCTCACACGGGAATCCCAGAAGATTATGTGGAAAGATTTCTGGAAACTCTTTCACTACTGGAATTGACTGAATAAGAGGTATCTCAACACTAGAGTCATAGACTAAGGGATACAGACACCCCTTACAAAGTAATTTTCTCGCCTTAATGTACGACATAAATAGACTTTTCCGCACTACTAAATTGTTTTCCACACTAAGGTTGGCTCATTTGGAAACTTTAAAATGAGTACTCGAGTTCTAGATTCAACTGAGTCATAGCTGCAAGAAGCCACTTAATACCTAGAATGACAACAAAATCTACCATGTCTAACACAACTAAATTAGTCATGGTACTTTTGTGATTGGCGAAAATGGGAAAATCACGATAGGCTCTCTCTATTACAATAGACTCACCAAGAGGTTTAAAAACACTGGATATTTCGCTAAAATGCTCAGTATAACATCAAATCACATAGAAACATATAGATTTACGAAAGATAAAATCATTCCTGGGTCTAGCAAAAAATGAACAGTAAAGTCAAAGACTTCACCGGTGACAATATCTAGTTAACCCTCTTGCTCTTGACGAGTGTTGATAGCCTATAAGAGATTTTTTCTTCCCCCGCTATTGGAAGTAGCCCCTCTAGATGCAGCTCTTTTCGGTGGAGAAACTGGAGAAGATTGGACCTTTTTCCTTGATTTCCATACCTTTCTAGTTCTCAAGACACTCCCTCAGAAAACGACTATTTTGACCACACTTAAAACAACTAGTAAAGCCCTCACAAGAAATAAGAAGTGGTTTCTGCCATTCTCACCACATGCATGAGGTCTACCATCCCTTTGTGACATACAGACTTTAAAATAGGCTGGATTAGCTCGGAAGTTCTGACTATTGTACTCACTTTTGTTCTTAGGTATAGGTGCACTCATAGATGATGGAGTAGGTCCCTTTTGCTTCTAATGTAGGGAGGACCTGTTGGCATTATTCTTTTGTTGCATGAACTTGTTTCCCAGACTTGTTGTACATAGATCATTAACAAGTCTAGGTGCCTATCCCCAATCAGCATTGCTTTTTTTCCTTCCTTTATTGACTAATGAGACAACCCAGCCAAAAATAAAATCATTATGCTCCTCATGTCAACAACCATCTCCAGATCATAGCAGGAAATTTGTGCAACAGACCGTACTCATTATTACTCATAAACGCAGGATTAAGGGTTAGAAACTCTCTTATCATTTGCTCTCACAACTCACAGCGAATGAAACGTCCCATGAGAACATTCTCAAACACAACCCAACTTACAATTGGTACATCCTCAACCCTATACTTTTTCCGTTGGGAAAATAAGACTCTAGAGATACCCTTTATTTGGTATGCATCTAGTTCCACCCTCTCAGCATCAACAACATGCAATATGTCAAAAGCTTTTTGAAGGACTTCAGCAAAGTTCTCGGGGTCCTCTGTGACACTTCAACCTGTGAATATTGGTTAATTCATCTATAAAAACATACGGATCTCTGAAGTATTATCCACTTCCTTTCAATTACCTCTATGTCTAACTTCATGAGTCGCAACTCGACGTAATATCTAGATAGTCTCACTGAATTTAGCATGGGTAATTTTTCCTTGTTGTTGCACTTCAATTGCATTTTGCAACTCTTCTTTCTGAACATATCTCTTAGTTAGACGACCTTTGACTACTCTTCATGGAGGCATAAGTCTCTGGAAATACGTACAGACACGAATTAGAGAGAAAAGGAATACGCAAAAAGTGAGAAATTCATAAATGTTATAGCCTTTTAATCATAGATGCAACGCACTTTAAACCAATGACAAAGACACTACAGAAACAGCTTCATATACTCCGTAGGACTCTTGAACTTTCTGCTCTAATATTAAGTTTTTCACTCCCCAAGCCTACACCCTAGACATGATCAACACCTAATGACTATTGTTGATCTTGAGTGAACCTTTCGCTTGTTTTACTTACTAAGAGGAAGACTTAAACACAAGATATAACTCAAGAAATTACTTAAAAGTAATACTTAGCCAAAGTGGAAATTCAAGTATCAATCATTTACAAGTGAATTGAAAAGACTAAAGAAACTAACAGTATCTGTCTATGAAGACTCTAAATTAAAGAGGGATGTTGAAATATGACCACCAATCATCCTATCAAGTGAAAACCTAAACAAATCACTTTAATGATAAATATTTCCTCCAAAATGAAGGGAGGCTCACAAAGTGACTCTGAGTTGCTCAGTCGATCAACGCTACATCGAATGTTGATCCTAGCTACTTACATCTGCATCATGATACGATGTAGGCCAATTGACATTTGTAAATGTATGATTATGCGTGTTGGATTAATAACAAAACATTGTCTTGAAAGATCATATGAAAGAAACACTTAACTTATGAATACTTAGCAGAACTCAATTAATTATAAAGCAGTTTAAAAAAAAAGTGCATAATAAAGATAAGTTGCTTTAAACCATGATGTAAGCTGTTTATGTATACAAAGATACAAAATAACAATGATATGTATGTAAAAGTACAAATAAACTAACGTCAACTCATAATTATAATCAAAGACATATCCTGCTTCCCCTGAAAGTCTGCTCGTGCAATTTATGAATGAAGTCTCATATACCCATCCATACTAGGAAGGACCTCTTGAGGAACCATGCAACTATTGTTGTGGAAGTTTCTCTAATAGACAACCATCACTTAGTATTTCTAGTCATGATACAGCGTTACTCATCCCACGTTGCTCAGTTATCGTAACCTTGCCAGAGTATAGGACCTAAAATGTCTAATGGATCCACTAGTCTTATTTGAAAAGGATTCATCTAAAAAGTATGACCCTTTTTGTATTCAGGATGGTTACATAGTTTTCATGGAGACTTGAGTTAATATTAATATTCCATCCCCATATCAGTTGTCAATACTACTACCAAAAATATACTTATCTTATATGTTTAAACGCAACTTTTCCTGTGATTCGACATTTCTGCTAAAAAATTTAGCTAAAAGGATATCTTGAAAATCTCATTTTCTTGTTTGCTTCATTTTCTAAAGCTATAATTCTTTACTGAAACTAACCTGGAGGCTCTATGGAAAATATAGTTTTTACTTTCCTTACTTCTTTAAATGTATAAACATTTTAAATTGTTTCCTTACTTTTTTAAATGTGAAAACATTTTAAATCTCTTTGGGAATACTTGGTCCTCATATACTTTTGAATAATTAACTTCAACTTTACTCTTTACTCTTTACTTAGCTTATAACTTGAGTATTAAATCATTTCTTAGGGAATACTTAGTTCCTTTATATTTCTTTCAAGGAAGAACATCAACTCTTTACTCTATACTCAACTTGAAACTTGATCCTTTAAACGAAGCTACAACGTTTAATAAAGACACTCGAAACATTAAGAAACTTTGGTTTTTTGACTTACTTCTTATCTTCTAAACTTAAGTCTTACCTTCTTTGATTTTGATCTTAAATTTCCTTGAATTGGATTATGGATTCAAGGTTCATGATCTCATTTTTATGGATTTGTTCATGATTTTTAGACGTGCCTTAAAATGGTGAATACATCACTCAGGAACTAGTACAAAAAATGGTGGGGAACGAATGGGGTGAACATGCGCCCTTGGCGCTCTAAGAGGTGTGCGCATCAGGCCCCAAACTTTTGCGAACATTTTGGGGAACTCAAGATGGAGTAGCGCCCCAAGGCATTACGACTAGAGTTGTCCTGTGGAGGCGTGGAACCCCAAGGCCCTACAGACAGGCTTTCTCAACTTTGTCCTCCATTTTTCATCTCTAACCCTCTTAACTTCCATGTTTCTTTCCCTAAACGCATAGTATCATTTACAATAATTAACCAATAGATTTAACTCAAAATAAACTCGGAAACATGAATCAGATCAACACAAGGCATCCAACAACTCAACCAACAAGAATTCAACAATGTTATTCAAGAACTTCACTTTTTATCATTCAGCCTTACTCAAACCGCTGAATTTAAATTAGTTGGTGTGTGGATGAACTGACCCAACACAAGATGATCTCACATACCTTTATAGAGATCACCCCCGATAAATTGTACAACCTGAACTTCGATGATTTGGAACGTTCTTGCTTCCTCTTCTCCTTTCTCCTCTTTTCTCCTCTTCCTTTCTCTACTCTCAAAACCCTAACTTATTTTTTAAAAGTGCAAAATGAATAAGATAAGTTTATACCCAAATTTATTACCAAAAACAAACTAATTAGGTTGGATAATAAAAGGACCAAAATACCCTCTAATATCCCGGATTGGACATTTCATTGATCTGACTGCCCAACTGCTAAAGGACATATCTCACTCATATGATATAAAAATTGCGCAAAATCAGAGACATTGGAAAGATATTACCAAGGTCTTTCCAATCATAGTAAGAACTACCTCTAAATAATCTTGAACTAGGGTTTATGGCGGTTGAAGTTGACCAAAAATTAATTTTTTCTTAACATAAGAAAATTTCCAAATTTTAATTCTTTACAAAACTGACCATTTAGAATTCTAAGCTTCTTCCTAGCTATTTCAATTTGTAAGATGTTACATATTTAATATTAATGAAGCACTATTCAAGCTCATATAAGATAAACAAGAAAACAAACAACCTTAGCATACCTTAAATCAAGCCTTCGAAATTTTATTGAACTTGAGTCATCCCTCTTTTATGAATGTTGGCTTGTTCCTAGCCTAAAACAATTTAACAAAAAACAATATACCACAATGAACAATGACCTATACATACTCAGATTTTAATCAAATCCTAACTCAATTTGATTTCTATGATCCTCTTTACAAAAACATGTGTTTTCCACCATAAAATCAAGTCAAACTCTCTCTAAGGTCACCAAACAATTTTAAGGCAAAAGAATCACAAAAATAATGCAGGGAAATGAATTAGTAATCTTTACCGAAGAATTTAGTAGAGAGTGGAGAAAATCACTCTAGTTTTATCTTACTCTTCCAATAATTAGCTTCATCGAATAATGAGTTCTTTCAGAGAGTTTCAATATAAATTTTTATTTAACTGTGCTATAGTGGCCTTATTGATTATAGTGTCTCTGTCATTGAATAAACACCCACAATGGGAGGAGTTAATCCCAGTGCAATAGCGACGTGACACCCGTTATATCTTATTGCATCAAACAAAAACTTGAAATTCTCAAAAAGTGTTTATGATGAGTCAAAGCTTATACTGATATTATGTTTCTAGTTCACCAATTTATGTCCTCAGTGATTTTGTAGGTCCATATCTTATTCTAATTTTTTTTAATTTGATCTATGAGAGTTTAAGTACAAAATGAGGACAAAAGAATGCAAAAGAATTCAAATTCACATAATATCTGAAGTGCATATTTAAAATTTTTTTAATATATCAAAATACATTATATGAATGTCGAAGCTATGATTGTAAAACATTCCATGACTTCATATTTCTTTCCTCTTTCTTAATAAATTACAGTTCCCACATTTTAACAGTTGCCTATAGATCAAGACTTTGTTGTTCAATGAGAATACTATTTTATAAAAGTTGTATAGAAACTCAACATATATGTATTCCTTCCATAAGATGTAACTATATTAGATCCTTCCGGATTTTTCGTGTATAACTATAAAATATTAGTAATTTTTTATGTATATAAATCATAATTACACATAAATACTCTATGTCTTATTTGGCTGATTCAATATTCATTTGTCGCTGCTAACACTAATGTATGTAAAGATGAGATAGTTTATTTGGTACATAATAGCAACGCAATAAGAATATGAAGCTAATGATTAAATAAGAAAAATAACAACACGTGATAGGAAGGGGAAATTTTCTTCTTCCGGGAAAAAGCATTTGATTACTATGAAATATTGTCATTCCATCGAGCATGAAAAACATCAAAAATACATCTTCTTGAATACAATTCCAACAAGGTGATGATCGATAGAGTTCCAGCGTGTTGTTATAAAACTCATTCCTAAATTATGTCAAGAAAGATTGTTTGCACAATAATATATTGGATTGAAATTTTTGGATTGGACGTATTTGTAATTATGATTTGTGTGTCTTCATTCAACTAATTTGCAACTTATTTATATTACTACTACTCTATTTTATTCATCCCGTTGAAATTACTGCATTACTTTTAATAGGTATAATATTGATAAATCATTATCCTTAAATGATGCAACAAATTGAGATAAATAAGCTACAATCTAGTGCTGACATGTTTCTTTTTAAGACCTAACGTAGTCAATGCTTTGCCTAAACATGCAAACTAAACATGGTGCAGATGATGTTGGGTTCAACACTGTGTACTTCTTGACTTATAGTGAAGAGGGTTTTGCTTTGTATATATAGTTTATGAGGTACCCGGGTTCAAAAAAGTGTGCTAAGGCTGGAAATTTTGGTAACTGAACCACCTTAGTCTTAGTGTAACCTTCTAACTTGCTTATGACAGTTCTGAAAAGTGAATCCAGAACATAATCAAACTATAAAGTTATTAATAAATGAACAACTTTTTGAACCTTCTTAAAACAGTTAGTTACACAAAGAATAAGAAGATTACATCACTGAATATTGCAACCCTAACACAATCGTTTGAACACATGTACCTCATTAACTCTTTACACAACGAAAAATCTTCTCACTCTAACGCAAGAAGCAAACAATGATGAACTCAACATCATTTATGCAGTGCTTAATTAGCATCTATTGTCTCTATCTGGCAGATTAATTGACTATGTTAGCCCTTAAAAATGAAATATATCAGTACTTGTGTGTAGCTTATTTATTTTAAATTTATGATAACATTTAACTGTTAGACTTTAAGCTTATTAAAACTATAAAAGTTAATACAATATGCTACTGAATGATGGAAAATCAGTAACAATTAAATATATTAGTTTTAGATTAGTTGAACCAAGACCCAAAAAGAATAATTAAGAAGAAAACTAATCCTTAAACTTTAATTAGCCTTAGAAAGATTGAACATATGTTTTTGCAAAAAGCCTTTCTTGACATACTATCGGAATATTTGAATAACAAGATACCATCCCATAGACCATCACCTAACAGGAATTATTGTTATATCCCTAATATTTTGAACTAACTTGCAACGTTTTGAAACTTAAAAAGCAACTTATTTATTTAAATAATTTAAAATTTTAGAGTCACCATCTATTTTAGGAAAAATATGAAACATTTTAATTAATTAATAATTAAATGTTAATATGCAAAATCAATCAGATTTAATGTGAGAGTTCATATGATCACGAAGAATAGGAATTACCACCCTTAAGAATCCACAATTGTGGGTCCCGAATGAACGCATTTTTTAATTGAGGAGCTGATGTAAATTAATTTCACAATTATACTGACATTAAATGTGTATATATAAATAATATAGAAAAACTTAAACGTGACATATTGTAAAATATTTACGGATTGTCAATAATATAGATAAGGATAGATAAAACATTCAAAAAGTATTCAAACATTTCTTTCAAATAACTTCGATGGAAAACTAGATAGTTGTAATAAACACTTAAGCAAGGTATTACAACTGCAATTATATGAATAAAAATATATAATAACAATAATAATAAATAAGCTCATTTTTTTATGTCTGAGTGAGGCCTTAAAATTGAAAAAAATAAATAAAATTCATCATCCGCCTTTGACAAAAAATTCATTATTTTTTATATTAAAAGAATCAAATGAATCATTATTATCTATAATAAGCTATAGATAATTCTTTTTAGTCACGTTACAAACAAAGTGTAACAATTTAAAATAATGGTCAACGAATGATGATTGTCTAATGAGCGATGGATAAAAGTTTCACAAACATATAACAAGTTCCAACAACAAAAACATCCTCAAAAATGTGACTGGTAGTAAATACTTAATGTTGAATACATCTAAAACAATGAAAAATAAGCAATATAAATTAGCAATTAAATAACAAACATTCACTATATAGAAAAATCATAGAAAATAAAAAAGTAACAGAATCAAATTATTGAAAAAGCAAAACTATAAAAATATAAAGAAAATGCAGATACACTATAAAAAATATATACCTTGGTAAATAAAAACACTTACCATACAAGACATGAAATACCAATAAAATATAAAAAGTGAAAGAATCATAGATACTAACAAAATTGCGCCGGAGAAAAAGTCTATAGGTAAAGTTGATTTTTCATGTAATCGCCGAATCTTTGGATCTCTTTAAAAATCTCAATCGTGTACATCACCGGAATTTTTACCTAGAACAAAAAAAACTTTAGTTGGGAGATAGGGGTAGAGGATGTTATTTGGGTCTCTTGAGTTGTGGTGGTTTAATTATATCATTAGTGGTTTTGCCGAGAAAGTTCTACAGAACAATTTTTTTTGGCGTTTTAACATGACATTTGTATTAATCGATAGATCTTGAAGAGATTTACATACCTATATTACATCCTTATGAGTTTTGTGGTGTATACCAATACAAAATGAATAATTTTTTATGTATATAAATTATAATTTCACATAAACACTCTTTGTCTCATTTTACTAATTAAAAATTAATCATATATGCAAACTCTAATGTAAGTATACATAATAACAGTGCAATAAGAGTATAAGCTAATGACTAAACAAGAAATAACAATACGTGATAGGAAGGGGAATTATTCTTCTTCCTAGATGAAAGCATTTTATTACTATGAATTTTTGCAATTCCATCGAGCATGAAAAGCTTCCAAAATACATCTTCTTGAATAGAATCCCAACAAGGTCATGATCGGTGGAATTGCAATGTGTTGTTATAAAAGTCATTTCTAAATTTTGTCAAGCAAGGTTGTTAGCAAAATCAAATATTAAATATTTTTATTGCTAATTGAAGTTTTAGGACTAGCAGTATTCTTAAATAATAACAAATCCACATATTCCTCAATATTATAGAAGATTCAGAGAAATGATAATTTCTCTAAGTAAAAGACTAAGCGAATGAAGTAAATTATTGTGGTCATTTCTCAAGAAAATCTTTTGAAAAATATGTGAACATGAAAAAATGAGTGTTAGATTTTCATAATGATGAGTACATTTGTTCTAACTAAAATGATTTTGTGTTTCTACACTCAAATGGAGAAGAAGAATATTTATTGAAATTGGTGATTCTATAACTACTTAAGTATTAAGAATAAAAAATCTTCTATTAAACTCACATATAAGAATATTAACATTATTTGACTTGATACATGAATATTAGAATTCGTGCAATTTTATTGTTGTGAAAAAGATTTTAACTTATAGAACTTTATAGATGTTGAATGTTATTCCTTTATTATAAAATATTTGAATGTGTAGGGATATGTTATTAATGTTGTGTTACATGATCCTAAAGAAAAGTATAAGAAATATATGGTCTAAGGTTCTCAATGTATGTTAATAAATGTTGCATTTACATATTGTGATAGTTAATTATTATTTGATTGGATGTTAATGTTAGAAGAGAAAAAAAATTGTTGAGGTTTTAAAAGAAGTGATCACATTATTCATGTTCTTATTGAAAATTATATTGCCTCTTGATGAATTATGTTGAAAAGTGTATTTGATAATACATGAGAGGTACTATAAGAAAATATTGAATAAGCGAATAGTTTGTTGTACAAAAGGGTACAATATATTATGAAAAAGGCAAAAGAAGTTGGTATGTATTGTGGGTGCCATAATAGAAAAACAATAAATTAGAATTTGTTATTGTGGAGTTGATTGGTGATGAGACTAAGTGGTTAAGACAACTCTTGGTGTAGATTCGAAGTGGAAAAAAATTATTTTTAATGTGACTAAATTGACTCATGTGTTTGAGATACAATTTGAAGAAGCAGCTGTGGGGAGATGAATTATTTACGAAAATAAATTATGCGTAGTCGGAGTTGAATCTGGTCAATTCACATACTAATAAAACATCAAGAGGAGTAAAGACTTTTATCATTTGATAAGATCAACAATGAGGGTAACCCAACATATGAGATTGAATATTCCATGTATTACGTTCATATGGATAATGACAAGTCATTGGTTAATCAAGTAAAAACTTTAAAGTTTTGTCCCTCCTATAATGTGTGAATATAGTGTGATAATCTGCAAAGCAAAGTGAGACAGAGTTATGGCTCTTAATCCAAGTCATATCCCTTATAGGTGGTGTATTGCTCTACAGAATACACTTGATGATTGGATCTATATGATTATAAACTGGTTTCGCTTCTATGAAATTGTCACAAATTGCTAGAGCACTCATGAATATCAGGACACATGCATGGTTTCTTAGCCCAAAACCGCGATAACAACATAGATTTTGCGAGTATGATGTGATAGAAAACACGCTAGACTTAAAAAATAATTATTTCTTTATAGAAGTTCTAGACTTCACCAAATTATTCTGTAAGTATACTTTTGTTTTATCAAAGTCTTGTTTATAGTATACGAACAGCAGATCGATGTATTAGTCTCATATGTGGAAACCAGCAAAACTTATTTGTCATTCTATTCCATATTTTATTCATGAGACATGTTGGGGACTGTTGGAAAACAATATTAATATCTCCACAATACAATATTCTTACGAACTTTCAACTCAACAAATAACTGATGCAAAATTGAATTGCCTTTAAGACAAATTTGACAGTTAGCCAAAAATTTCATTATTGACAAACATTTTGTGCACTTTTAATAGCATTGATAGACTATTAAAATTCTTTTTTCAAATCTAATGTTACACTTTGACTAACTTTCTTTATTGTCATTAACTTCTAATTATACGCCATTTATTGTCTTGTCTTCTTTGACCTTTGGAGGAACAATAGAGTTGAAATATATATTCCTATTGTGTTGTTGTTGAGAGGAGGGAAAGAAAAAGAGAGAGCAAATCAACAAATCTCATCTCTTTTTTTCTATTTTCTTGTGATGGGTTTTATATTACAGAAAATGTGTTAGTTTTTGACTCCTAGTTGTATAATAAAAGAGCTTGTTTAATCCTGGAAAAACACCCATACCGGGTGAGATATCCTTAAAAACAGTGTGTTTAGACACACATCAATCAATGAAAATTTCCAACAAGAGTTCGTGATGAAGTACAAGCCTAGAAGAGTTTGACACAAGTGTTTGTGATGAAGGTATTTTCATTAAGAATTTACAACAATATAACTTTTCATGATGAAGATATTTTCTTTAAGAATTTACAACAATCGTTTGGATATTTTATCCGGTATGGATGTATCCTCCAGGATTCAACAAGCTCTTCTAATATAAAACTATGAGCAGAAACTAACAATGATTCATTAAAATATAACATAGCACAAGAATATAGAAAGAAATAGATGAAATTTTTTGATTTGCTATCTGTTTTTTCCCTCCTCTCAACAACTACACAATAGGAATATATATACCATCTCTATTGGTCCTCCAAAGGTCAAAGAACACAAGACAATAAATGGCTTATAATTAGGAGTTAATTACAACGAAGAAAGTGAATCAATTTTCAAAGTGTAACGTTAGATTAAAAAAGAAATATTAATAGCCTATCAATGCTAATAAAAGTGGACAAAATATTTGGTCAAAATGAAACGTTTGGCAACTGTCCAATTTGTCTTAAATGCAATTCAATTTTGCATCAGTTATTTGCTGATTTTTGAGATACTAATATTTTGTTTCCAACGGATTTGTGGATCTTGATTCAAATAATTTTTAACTAATTTATATTACTATTACTCTTTTTAAGTCATGAAGCTAAAATCACCGTATTACTTCTAATAGTTGTAATATTTTTAAATAGTGACACTTGGATGATGCCACAAATTTGGATAAATAAGTTACACTCAACTACTGACATGTTTCATTTTAAGACCTAAATTAGTCAATATTTTGCCTAGACATGCTAACTAAACATTATTCAAATGACGTTGATTTCAATATTGTTTACTTCTTTGCTTATAATGAAGAGATTTTTGCTCCGTAAACATTATTTATGAGATACGAGGGATCAATGATGGAAAATTCAGAGATGGAACCACATTATTCTTGGTGTCATCTTCTAACTTGCTTATAACGCTTCTGAAAAGTTTTTGTCCAAAACATTAAAATCACACCATAATTCTATTATGGACTAACTACGTTTAGAACCTTGTTAAAGCAATTAGTTGCAACAAGAACAAGAAGGTTCCATCACCAAATTTTGAAACCCTAGCACAATTTTTGAACATATTGACCTCATTAAGTCTTTATTATACACAGGAAAATCCACTCACTATAAGACAAGAAGCAAATAATGATGAACTCAACATCATTTTTGTTGTGCTTAATTAGTTAGCATGCATTGTCTCTGGCAGCGCAACTGAACTACATTAGGTCTTAAAAATGAAACATGTCAGCACTTGAGTGTAGCTTATTTATTTTAATTTTATAACAACATTTAAGTGTTAGAATTTAAGCTTAAGAAACCCCTAAAAGGTAATGCAATACATGCAACTGAATAAAGGAAAAGCAATAAGAAATAAACATATTAGTTTTAGATCAGTTGAACAAAATAAAAAATGCTTAATTAAAAAGAAAACTAATCCTGAAACATAAATTAGCCTTACAAAGATTAAACATATGCTTGTTCAAAAATCATTCTTAACATACTATTGGAATTTTTGAATAACAAGATATCATCCCTTAGAGCATCACCTAGCAGGAATTATTTTTATAGCCCTAATATTTTAAAATAAGTGGCAATGTCGTGGAACTAAACAACACTAATTTATTTAAATAATTTAAAATTTTAGAGGCACCATCTATTTTAGGAACAACAGGAAACATGTTAAGTAATTAATTTATAAATAACTATTAATATATGAAATCAATTAGATTCTAGGTACGGGTTCATATGATCACGAAGGAAAGGAGTTAGCAACCTTGAGAATCCACAAATATATTGTGTGTCCAGATTGAACTCATTTTTTTTATTTGAGCAAGAGATAAAAAATTAATTTCACGATTATACTAACATGTAAGATGTATACATAAATAACATAGTAAAATTTAAAAGTAAAATATAGTGAAATATTTACCGATTGTCAATAATATAGATAAATATGGATAATTCATTAAAAATGTAAGAATAAGAACAAGGAGAAGGAGAAGGAGAAGGAGAAGGAGAAGGAGAAGGAGAAGAAGAAGGAGAAGAAGAAGAATGTATCTAAGTGAGGTCTTAAAATATGGGGATAAAACAACAATCGTCATCGTCCATTGGCAAAATATGTAAAAGAATCAAATGAATCATTATTAGCAGTAATAAGCTATCTAATATTCCTTTTTTTAATTGAGGAGGAGATAAAAATTGATTTAACAATTATACTAACATGACAGATGTATACATAAATAACATAGTAAAATTCAAACGTAAAATACAGTGAAATATTTATCGGTTGTCAATAATATAGATAATTATCGAAAAATCATTAAAAATGTATTAATAAGGAGAAGAAGAAGAAGATGAAATAGAATAAGAGATAAAAGAAGAAATAAAACTTATTTGATATATATATCTAAGTGAGGTCTTTAAATATGGGGGAAAGAAAAAAAATTGTCATCGTCCATTGGCAAAATATTCCTTCAATTTATGGTAAAAGAATAAAATGAATCATTATTACAAAAAATAAGTTATCTAATATTATTGTTGATCAAATGAGAAATACAGTGCCACAATTTCAAATAATTGTCAAAGAACGATAGTAATCTAATGAGTGACTGATCAAAGTTTCACAAATAAATAACAAGTTTCAGAAACAAAAAATTTCTCAACAATGTGTCTTGTAGTAGATGATTAATGTTGAAAACATATAAAACTATGAAAAATAAGCAATATATAATAGCAACTAAATAACAAACATTCACTACATAGAAAAATGATAGAAAATAACAAAGTAACATAATCAAATTAACACAAATTAGCAAAAAAATTGCAAAAGTAAAACCATAAAAATATAAAGAAAATATAGATATGATGGGGAAAAAATGTAACTATGGTAAATTAAATACACATCTAGCATATAAGACATAAAATACAAATAAAATACAAAAGGTGAAGCAGATCAGAAATACTAACAATATTGCATTGGAGAAAAGTTTGTAGGTAAAGGTTATTTTCATGTAGTCGCTAAATCTTTGACTCTCTATCCAATTCCTTAGAGTGTACATAACTGGGATTTTGACCTGTAACAAAAAAAATACTTTAGTTGGAGGATAGGGGAAGAAGATGTTAGTTGGGTCTCTAGAATTGTGGTTGTTTGATCTCGTTAGTGGCTTTGCCGAGAAAGTTTATTAGAAAGTTTTTTGTTAGCGTTTTAACAAGAAATTTGTATCAACCGATAGATCTTGAAGAGATCTTACATACCTATGTATGTTGTGTGGGATAAATATGACTTAAACTTTTGAATTTTAAAAAGAAAGTGGCAGATCTATGGAGTTTGGTTAAGAATAGATGGAAATTATTTGTGGGTTCATGCAGAGGATGGTGAAAGGAAGAGCAGTAAATTTTGGGGTCATTTTGAGGTAGACGGATGGATAACTGGTGGCAACGAGTGCGAATAGGTTCGCTATGAAACTTATCATCAGAAATTCAGCATGAAATTTATATTAATAATCGATATTGAAGACACCTATATGCATATGTAAGTTGTATGATATGAAGATTACCTGAACTGTGCGACTTTTAAAAAAAATTCATTTCGGTGTTTGATTTTTCTCAGATCTATGAAGCTTGGCTAAGAATCAGATGAGTTGATAATTAGTTAATTCATCTAGAGTGTGAGAGGGTCAGTGGTGAAACTTTGGATCATTTATCAGATGATAGATGTAGTGTAGTGGTGATGGGCAGCGGTCCTACAGCAACAGAAAGGATGGAGAAAATTATGAAAACCTGAAATTTATATACCTCTTTGATTTGGAGAGAAGAAGAGTGTTATAAAGGCAACAAAGTCACCCTAATTAAAAACCATGGGCTTCAAAAATTAATTTTAGATATGTCAACATGGGCTAGCCCACCCCATCCGGGCTAATCCATACAAACTTTGAAATTTTACGGGGCAAGCCAAGCTAACCCATTTTTAAGTAGGCCAGAAAATGGTCGGCCAAACCCATAGGTATGTGGGCTATGAATTTTGTCGGGTCTGACCTCTTTTTAAAAATATGTTTTTTTATAATTTTTTAAATTAAAATATTATCATATATAATTAAATCTGGACAAGACAATATTACATGGTGTTAGTGTTAATACTCACTAATAAAATTCTCAAATGAAATTATCTTTATAATATTTATAAAGTTTGATTTCAAGTAAAAGAATAAATAGCCAAATTCAAATGGTAAACTATTTTTTTCCAACGATCTTAATAAAACACAAAAACTATGACAATATTTCATAGGCTACAACCAATGTTGTGATTCCATAAAAAATTTTAGGAAAATTTTAATTTATGTAGTACGTATTTTATAAACATAATTTGTTTTTAAATTTTAGTATTTCAAATACTAAACAAATATGTACTTTAGACTAAAGTTATTTTAATACTAAATTTTATATTATTATTAATTTTATTTGGCCCATGGGTTCCTATTTGTATTTCTCAAGCCCCAAAAATCGACATACTTATTCCGGCCAGACTAAAAATTTCTTTTTTAAAATTGTCTTCAAAAATCGTCGCTTAGCATTCACAACGGGCCTAGCCATATTGGTGGGTCTAATTAATTTCACTTTCTTTCCATTACATTATGTGCATTTGAATGTGTTTAGAAACTTACCTAAAACTATATAAATAAGTAATGTATAATGTTATTAATGTCAAGTACATATGTGATTCAAATAAAAATAATAATTTAGAAACTAACATTTTATTTATAGACAACACAATGTAACAAGCATAGTGGTAACAAAATGAATCAAACCGAATAGATAAAATTCCTAATATTCTTAAAAATAAGGATATTTATCGTTAAATCGTAAAAAAATATAAAAATGATTTTTACTATTTGATGAATTCAAAACATAGAGTTATTAACTTTGAAGATATCGGGTTGAAATTGGGTGTCGACAATTATCTCCAAGCAGTAGTAGTTTGGCATTTGGTGATGCTCGATGGAATTTAAATAAATCTTATAAATATAGGTTTTAGCTTCCAAGAATAAAACTTTTCTCCTCTTATAAAGTGTTTTTATTCTCCATATTTAATCATCCGCTTCATGTTCTTCCATCATTGATTTGTCCCAATATTTATTGATGATGGTGATTTTAAAGTTAGCACACCATATAATTAATGGTACAACTTTACTAACCAAAGTCCAATGAACTTCAATATGTTGACGAATAAAATAACATCCTCTCAAGTTTCATAGGGTGAGACAAAAGGTATCACAGATGAACTATAATCATGTTACTAGAGAAGAATTGATGTTTCCTTTAATACTTGCGTCAGTAATGCTTGTATTAGTTGTACATAGATTACTTCTCATGCACCGTCTAGTTTGGTGAATTAAAAATAGCATGTATTGCATTATAATATTCATTTACAAAAATATCCTCCACAATTATGGTGAAAATGTAAAATCTCGCAACTACAAACGACTAGGAAGGAGGTTAAAAATTCGGAATAACTATTTTAGAAAGAATAAGAAAAATCAGGAAAATTTTCTAAATTAGGAAAGTGAGTTTTTGTCATTTTCGAACGACCATAACTCCTAGCTGAAGATGAGTTAGGGTTAGTTCAACATATGGTAGGAAATCCCTTAGAATAATCTTTCCAACGCCGTCGAGTTTTCACAATTTCGATATACTATATGTGAGTCATGCATTTCGGAATTTGGGTGTTGGATTATGGAAAGTCCAATCCGTATTTGGGAAGGGAAAAGTTATCTATTTCTTTCCTAATTTAATTAATTTAATTTTAGGGATTTATTGGGGGTAAACACTAAAGTTAGTCAGTTTGAAAAAATAAAAATTACGCTTAGGTCTTGGAGAAGATAGAAAAAAAGATGAAGGTAGAAAGAAGTCAATAATTCGCCAAGAACGTCAAGTTTTGCGAGTGGAATTTGTCGGAGTGATCCCCATAACGATATGTGAGATCTTTTAGTGTTGGTTCAGTTCACCATCTTACCAAACTTGTTTAATTCAGCGGTTGGTGAGTTGTTTATATGTTAGTAGGTGAAGTTCTTGAAGAACATTGTTGAATTCTTGTTGGTTGAGTTGTTGAATGCCTAGTGTTGATTTGATTAGTATTTTCCAGTTATTTTTCGAGTTTAATCTGATAGGTATTAAGGGTACCAATTATCGTAAGTGTTTGTGGGAAAATCCATGCATGTTTAGAGGATTTAGAGATGAAAAACGAAAGAGAAAAGTCGAGAACACCTGGGTATAAAGGTTAGGGTATCGCACCTCCCATAACCCCCAAAGGACAACCTATGTCCACAGGGCCTTGTGGTGACACGCCAGACAGAGCGCCCCAACTTGGCTTCTAAATTTTGGGGCCTGGCATCCCATGCCTCTCATATCGCCAAGGACACAGTTCACCCGATTCTTTTCCCACCTTTTCGTACTAGTTCCTAAGTGATGTATCCATGATTCTTAGTTGATTCCAATACTCTAAGGTACATCTAAGCATCATGAAGTCATCCATAAACATAAGATCATGAACCTTGAATTCATAATCCAATCCAAGGAAAGGTGAGATTAAAGTCAAAGGAGTTAAGATTAAAGTAACAAGTCAAAGCAAAATTCTTAAAACTTTTCAAGAGTCTTTAGCAATGTTTTAAAATTGTTATAAGACATAAGTTTCAAGCTAAGTAAATACTACAGATTTGAAGTTCTTCCTTCAAAGAAATATGCGGAGGCTTTGTACTCCCAAAGAAGTTTAAAAGAAATGTTTTTCACATTTGAACAAGAACGGAAACAGATTTTTCCAAAGATCCTTCAGTCTAGTTTTCATAAAAGAGTTAAAGATTTATGAAATAAAGCAAGCATGAAATTGAATTTCCAATATAGACCTTGAGCTATGTTTTTAGCACTAATCTCAAATCACAGAGGAAGTATATTTATAAAACATAAGAGCAAATATTTTTTGAGAGTAGTATTGAGTACCGAAATGGTGACAAGCATAAGTTCATATAACTAACATCTCCACAAAACAATGTAGCAACCATGGGTAGCAAATGTTCATATTTTTTATATAAATCCTATTCACAGTAGATTAGTAGATCCATTAGGCAGTTCAGGTGTTATACCTTTTTTCAGGTGTAGGATGCGCTGGCAACGTGCGGTAAATCGTTGTATCATCACTATAGCTCTTAACTGATGGATGTCGGTTAGAGAAACTCACATAGAAGATAATTTATACATATATATGTATGCACAGACATCAGTTTATTTGTATTTTACATACATCTCAGAGTTAATTGTATCATTGTATACATTTAGAATTTACATCATGTTTTCAAATAGTGTTTCTTTATATTGTACTTGCTTTTAAATTGCTTTCGATTGAAATGATATAGTTATATTGGGTTATATTATTCATGAGTTAAGTAGAGCTGACGTAAGTGTTCCTTCTTACTCTTTTAAAGCTTAAGTTTTTTTAGTGTTCCCATTCGCATATTCATATATTCAATGTACTGATGTAAGTTGTCCTGCATCATATTATATTGTAGACGCAGGTAACTATGAGCAGCATCCGGCGTACCATTGATCTAGTGAGTAGCTCAGAGTGTAACATCTCGTAACTTGAAATAGCTTGAAATAATCTAAGAAACCTAAACTTATCATTTTAGGAAAGAATAGGAAAAATCTAGAAATTTTTCTAAGAGTAAAAAATGAGCATTTGGTCATTTTTAAATGTCCATTAATTCAAACTAAGGGTGAGTTAGGGTCAGTTCTTTATATTGTTGGAAAGTCCTTGGAAATATCTTTCCAACATCGTCAAGTTTGCATATTTTAAATATCATATGACGGAGATTTTCCTATCAAAAGTTGGGTAGTTGGACTGAGAAAGGTCCCAATCCGAATTTTAGGAAGGGTAAAGTAGTCTTTTTATCCTACTATTTCCTAATTCATTTTAAGGGTTTATTAGCAGTAAAACTAATCCTGAAACAAGTTTTAGAAAATTTAAATACGCTTAGGGCTTTGGAGAAAAGAGAAGCGAATAAGTAGAAAGGAGAAAAGACTAAGTATTCGTCAAGAATGCCAAGATCTTTGAAATGAATTCATTGGGGGTGATCCCTAAAAGGTATGTGAGATCTTTTTATGTTGGGTTATTTCACCCACAAACAAAATTGTTTAATTCAGCGAAGTTTGAATAGCATTGAATGATGACCATTGAAGTTTTTTAAGAACAATGGATAAATTCTTGTTGGTTGAGTTGTAGCATATATTAGTTGATTGGATTCCTGTTTTTAGGTTGTTTTCTGGTCTAATATGTCGGTTATATATTTTATTAGTGACCTAAGTGATTACGGTGAGATCCATCAAATTTTAGAAGGTTTAGCTTTCAAAAACAGAGAAGACAAGACGAATATTCTGTCTGACAGGCTATGGGGTGCCGTACAAAATAGAGCCCCTCAGCATAGACTCTATCCTTCATGCTTTGGCGCACCGCGTCAGCCAAAGCGCCTAAGGCCAGTGTCTATCCATTAGGCTTTGGATTCCCGTGCCTCTCAAAGCGTCATGTTTTCTGGAGACCTCATTCTTTCCCTATGTTTTTGTACTAGTTCCCAAGTGATATACCCACACTTCTTAGTTGATTCCAACACTCTATGGTACATCTAAACATCATGAAATCATCCATAAACATGAGATCATGAATTTTGAATCCATAATTCAATTGAAGGAAAGTTAAGATCAAAGTTAAGGAAGTTAAGAACCCATGTCTAAAGCTAAGAAGTAAGTTAAAGTAAAGTTCATAAAGGTTTTGAAGAGTCTTACTTAGACA